TTGTGGCTGAGGGAGAGGAAATGGAGGCAAGATGTAAAGAAATTTAGGGTTTCTGACTCAATATGGTAAAGCAAGATCAATTATATATATATTTCCTCTTTTCTTAGAATCGGTTGAATGAGGTGATCTGGAGTGATGGAGGAGAGGTGCAGATGAAGTTATTAATTCAAGTGTGGATATAGTGGTCTCTATTGTGAGGAGGATTAGTGTGGTTAGAGTATAAGCGGTTGGGTGAGAGTATAGGATGAACAGAAGTTATGTAGGCTAGGGTAATGTCATAGAATCCAAGTAGAAGAGGCGAATTGAGTGTTTTAAAGCGAGGAAGGGTCGTGGCATATTCAATGTGCTTGTGTGGCCATTACAGGGCGAGTGTGACAGTGTGAACGAGCGGTTTAATGTGGCGTCTAGTATGTGTGTGTGTGGCAGATACTGGCCGAGGATTGTAGGGATTAAGTAGGTGAATTTATGTGATTTGGTGTGTGTGTGAGTGTGTGTGGCTCTAGAAGAGTCGTGATGCGGTCGGTGTATATGTGTGGCCATTATAGGGCAAGTGTGATAGTGTGAGTGAGCGTTCCAGTGTGGCATCTGGTGTGTGCGTGTGTGACAGAGACTAGCTGAGCATGGTAGGGATTGAGTAGGTGAGCTTATGTGATCTAGTGGGTGTGTAAGTGTGTGTGGCCTCTATAGCTGTGGTTGCAGGTTGGGTGATGGATATGCGGAAGGCCTTCACTAGCTGAGAGTTATGTGGAAAGAAGCCATATCGTACGGTACTTCTTGTGTAAGGGCGGCCTGTACAGGCCGTTGGTTGTAGTTGAGATGAAGGTGGATTAGGTGTATGTGTGTCTATCTAGGTCGGGTGTAGCCGGCGTTGATGTGGACTAGGGTGTTGGTATGTGTGGTCTTTACAAGCCATTATCCCAGGTTGGACATGGATAATTGGTTAGTTGGATATGTGTGTGTGGCCTTTCTAGGCCAGGCATTGCCGATGTTGGTATGGGATAGGGTGTGTATGTGTGATTTTTATAGGTCGTTGCCCCAGGGTTATTAAGGGATAATTAACTGAGTGATGTGTGTAGGTGGCCATTCTAAGTTGGAAGAGTGGGAATGTGTGCGTGTGTGGTCGGTAAAGACTGATTGGTTCCGATACTGAGGTTGAGTAATGGACATAGGCGAACTGTAAATGTCTGTGTAGGCCTTCAGGATCGTAGCTACAAGCGTGGGGTCTCGAAGTATTTCAGTGTTAGTAGGACTAAGCAGTAGCTGCAATTGAGTGGATATAGGGAACAAAGTTATGAGGAAATGGCCATCTTAGGGTAGAGATGAGAGAGTAGATAGGTGGAAGTGAGGGTCTAAGTGAGGAGTGTTGGGGTGGGAAGTTTCTTAGTTTCTATACTGTTAGTCTTAATTTCTACATTTTTTTATTGGGCCTATTGATGCTCATTACTATTGTTTTCAGATGTACTAGATTTAAAGTCGAAATCAGAATGCATAGGGATGGAGCCCCACACTTAAGGAAGGGACGAACGCTAGTATAAGATGCTCGTTTGATATACATGAGTGCACACATTTTATCAACATTGAGATTATAGTTGTTGTAACATTGAACTATACGAATTAACCATGTACTCTTTAAATATTTAATTGAAAAAAGGTGATTGTTATTTTTGTAGAATGTAATGATATAAATTTGTTGCATGATGGAGGATGTTCTTGAATTGGAATGATAGGTGGTGGTAATGCCCCATTTTTAGGACGAAGTGTTACATTGATAGTCTGTTATGCACACTGAATCCTACATTAAGTTCATTTATTGATAAAAAATCACAGAATAATTTAATATTAATGAAATAATAATTAAAATAATTTAGTTTTTAATAAAAGTTTGGCCACATGGATCGCCAGGAGGTGCAGTGAAAAGGAGGGTGTTTCGAATACCGATCCGGAGTAAAAATCTCTCAATATTTTCTTCCATTACAATAAATTAAAGTCTACTAACTAATAACAGTGTGTTTTATAAAAATTAGAAATACCTAAACTAATTTCAAGTCACCAATAGAGTCAGAACCAGTTAGTGTATAATTGTCATATCTTTGTTGTTTATTTTCTCCTATACTGCCTAAAATGCTTAATATTACATCATGTGCTTTAATTTATTGATTTTAATTGTTTTCTCGTTTATTAGTTTATTTACTCGTTTTGTCCATATTTGTTGATTGGTTTGCAATAAATGCCTTGATCATGTCTCCCTTAATTGTTAATTTATTAATTTATACTAGTGGTGTAATTGTCGCTATATTATTATGTAAATATGGAATGAGTTGGTTGTATATGATTGGTGGCTGTTGAATGATGTGAATATGTATACTAAAAGGCTTATTGGGTATCCTGGGTATGAGTGTACGGACTCAGTTTATAGGAAAAATCCTACCGGTATCTCAGTCGAACAAGACTAAGAAGTTCAATACCAAAAGAAGTTGAGAAGTATAAGTTCATCCTCATACCGGACAAAGTATTAAGGCGGTGGTATGTTTGACGCCAATTATCGAACAACGAGATAAATTGATAAATTGGATATTGGGTCCATGCATTGTGGAATCCCTATAGACCCCTAGAAGAACGGGTAAGTGGGTAAGAAGATAAATTTATTATTATTGTTCATTTAAATGTGTAATAAAGTGTTATCCTGGTTATTGTCTTCATAGGTCAGTTTTGAAAACTCATAAAAGTAAATATATAAATAACGTTTTTATGTTAAATGAATTTATTTAAAAAGAGATTAATAACTTTATTGATTATTTTACAATTTTTACCAACTTTAAATTTTTCATATCGGTGTTAAGTGTGATATTCTTACTGGATTAGTATAGTTCATCTTCCTTAATTAACTATTTTAAATCAAGAAAACTAAGATTCAGATCCTTAACAGCAAGAAGATTGTGAATAAAAGCTATCTCCCGCATTCCATCAAAGTTGCCCAACGGAGGTTAACTCTATAAGAATTTTAGTTGTGTTTTCTTTTATTTATTTATCATGTTATTGAAAATTTCTTTAAAAACATTCTCATAATCCTATTGGACATCTTGAGTTATTGTGTAAAAAATGTAAACCTAAAATTCTTAATTGCTTCACTTATATTTCGTTAATTAAATATTTTTATTTCTTTAAGTTTTGGGCATTTACACAAATAGTCCTTAATTTGTTGTTCATTTTTCAATTTAGCTATTTTGACTATTTTAGTATTGCAATTAATTTATTTAATCTTTTTTTAAAATTTTTTATTTAAAATAATTATATTTTTAAACACACTATCACCGTATGTGACGTCATAAATTTATTATTATGGCATGAGTTAATATGTTATAGCTTAAAATTTTATTCAAAATCAAAAAATCAAAACATAATATTGCTAAACAACACTTCTTCCAACTCTATTTTTTTAACATAGACAAAATAAATATGTTTGATTTAATTTTTACTTAAAATTTCGTAAATTTAATTTTTTTTTTCCGCCAACTTTTAACAATAAAATTAGATAAAATGTATGGAAAAAATTTATTTATTTTGATAAAGGTATTAGTTAAACTATATTAAAAACAACACTGCAATAATAAAAAGATTAAGAATAAAAATAAAAAATAAAAGATTAATTATTATTTTTGGAAACTTGTATTATTATTTATTATAAATTATATATATTCAATTTATTTAAATTAAAAAATAAAGAAATCATATATTCCTAAAAGTTATATACATATATATATATATATATATATATATATATATATATATATATATATATAACGTAGCAAGGGTAGAAGACAGTGACTATCTAACCCACTGAGCAACTACCAGTTACAACGCATTGCATTGAAGCCCAAGGAACCTCCTTTTTATGCCTAACCAACCTCTGTCGGCAACCACATCACATGAGAGAAGCCTGTGCTGTGGGTTCGGCTTAGAAGAAGAAAACTAGTTTATACACAGTAAAAAATAAACAAAAATAAAAGAAAAATAAAAGCGGAAAATAACAAACAAAGACTTCGAAACTCAGAGAGAAGCCTCACTTTCAGTCGAGAGTCCCGAGCTCAATAAATCCTTTGGGAGTTTTCCATTTTCGAGTTTTTGAGCTCCGGAGCTGTAAATTTCAGAAGCAGAATTTCCCAAGCAGCGAAAATCTCAAAGAAGCAAAGCGGGTCCATACAGATTCAAATCGAGTTCAATGTTGGTCCAAGACCGTACACTCCCAAAATCTCCAAAGCCTCAGATCAGGTCCCTCCCCACCACCACGCTTCATCATCACCAAAACCGTTTCAGTGAATCCAAATCCCTCGATTTCTCAACATGGTTTTCCGATAATCTCTACAAAATCTCTACAATTGTTGTTTTTATCGTCACCGTCGCGATCTTCTTCTTCTTATATAACAGCACGGACACCGCCTCCTTCCTGCGGTTTCAATCCCAGTCCACGCAGTCTCTTAAGTCGGTCACTCTCCCCAAAATCAACTGGAACTCCATCAGACCCGTCGCCGACACGTCGTCTCCCTACTCGAATTTCCGGTCTGAGAAATGGGTCGTCGTTTCGGTGTCGGGTTACCCTACGGATGCGCTCAGAGCGATGGTGAAGATGAGAGGGTGGCAGGTCTTGGCGATTGGGAACTCGAGGACTCCCAAAGACTGGAACCTCAAAGGTGCCATTTTCTTGTCTCTTGATATGCAAGCTAATTTGGGTTTTCGGGTTCTGGATTATTTGCCTTATAATTCTTACGTTAGGAAGGCTGTTGGGTATTTGTTTGCAATCCAACATGGCGCGAAGAAGATCTTCGATGCCGACGACAGAGGAGAGGTGATTGATGGGGATTTAGGAAAGCATTTTGATGTAGAGTTGGTAGGGGAGGGCGCTAGGCAAGAACCTATATTGCAATATAATCATGAAAATCCTAATAGAACTGTAGTAAACCCATATATTCATTTTGGGCAAAGGTCTGTTTGGCCTAGAGGTTTGCCTTTGGAGGATGTAGGTGAAATTGGTCATGAAGAATATTACACTGAGATTTTTGGCGGGAGGCAGTTTATACAGCAGGGGATTTCAAATGGTCTGCCGGATGTTGATTCGGTATTTTACTTTACTAGGAAGGCTAGTTTAGAAGCATTTGATATTAGGTTCGATGAACATGCCCCAAAAGTGTTGTTGCCACAAGGTATTATGGTGCCGGTGAATTCCTTCAACACCATTTACCATTCTCCTGCATTTTGGGCATTAATGCTTCCAGTCTCGGTTAGTACTATGGCTTCTGATGTATTGAGGGGTTATTGGGGGCAAAGGCTTTTGTGGGAAATTGGTGGATATGTTGCGGTTTATCCACCTACTGTTCACCGGTATGATAAGATTGAGGCCTATCCGTTTTCAGAGGAGAAGGATCTTCATGTAAATGTGGGTCGTCTGATCAAGTTCTTGGTTTTGTGGAGATCAAATAAGCATAGGTTATTTGAGAAGATCTTGGAATTAAGTTTCGCTATGGCAGAAGAAGGGTTTTGGACTGAGAAGGATGTGAAATTCACTGCAGCTTGGCTTCAAGACTTGCTTTCTGTTGGGTACCAGCAGCCAAGGTTAATGTCTTTAGAGTTGGACAGGCCACGAGCAAATATTGGCCATGGGGACAGGAAGGAGTTTGTCCCACGTAAGTTGCCGTCTGTTCATCTTGCGGTTGAAGAAACTGGGACTGTAAATTATGAGATTGGGAATTTGATTCGGTGGAGGAAGAACTTTGGAAATATAGTACTAATAATGTTTTGTAGCGGGCCTGTGGAACGCACTGCCTTGGAGTGGAGATTGCTATATGGACGGATATTCAAAACTGTGGTTATTTTGTCACCGCAGAAGAATTCGGATCTATATGTTGAAGAGGGGCAACTGGAACAAGTATACAAGTAATTTTTCTGTTCTGATGAGCTTTCATATTTCTTAGTAGTATTTTTTTTCTTACCAAATGAGCATGTTGTGATGCTTTTCAAAATTTTGGCCATTATACTTTTTAGAATTACTTTTTTCTCTCTTTCATCTTTAGGAGTTTTTCTTAGGATGGCCTGAAATTGGAAGATTCAGTCATGGATTTCATATGGTTTGTTTTGAATTTGAAATGCATTTTAAGTTTTTGGGCTGATTAAAGAGACCTCTACAGTTATCATGCATTGTAAACCGAGTTTGCTAAGCATTGGTCGTAAGATAACTTACGAAATTTGGCTAATTTGGGTAATTTTCTAGCCGGATGTTTGATATGTTATGCAATTTTCAACTCTTTTATCTGTCGTAGTTCTAGATTTTTGACAGCTCAAGAGAGAGGAAAGTATATTTCTTCAATTTGCTGTTTGAGAGACCTAAGTTTTGATGTCACTAAATTTGGCAGACAGCTCAACTTCTTACAATCATATGCATTGGGCTTAAGGTTCTAGATTTTCTATTAAAGGCTTCATTTATGTTCTGTTGAAGTATCTTCTTTTAGATGCTCTCTCCCAGTACATAACATTGCAAGTTTTTCTTGATTACATGACTTTATCAGCTTAATTTGGCCTCGCCATATTCAGAGTGATTTCTTGATCTGATAATGTTTTACCCATTTGAGTTTGTGAGCATTGATTGGGGTTTCCTTTTACATCAAAAAGGAAAAAGCATTTCTATAATTTTACGACCAACATATATTAAGCAAATCCTTGCTCAAACATGAATTTGCAGCTAGCACTCTGGTTCTTCAACCTATGAGCTGGCATCTAATCTTCCTTATCCATTTAATGATTCACAACAGCACAACTTTCATCAAATAAAAAACCGACTGTAAAGATCCACGTGAAAATGTGCTTCACTCCTGCCAACCCCATTTTGTTTAGTGTCATTAATAATAAGCCCCTTCTATTATACAAGTTGTTGCTCGTTTTTTATTAGGCATGGTACTTTTTTGGTAAATGTCCTGTTTTGTTGCCAATCCATTCATAACCTTGGAAAATAACAGTGATGTTTGTAACTGATGCAGATAAATAGTTCCATTTCCCCCTATACTTACTTTACTGTTTGATACCTTTACAGGCATCTGCCAAAAATATTTGATCGTTACACCAGTGCCGAAGGCTTTCTATTCCTCGAGGATGATACAATTCTTAACTATTGGAATTTGCTGCAAGCAGAGAAGACAAAGCTGTGGATTACTGACAAGGCATAAACTCTAATACCCTCTTGACTTTACATTTATCCACATCTTGTTAGTAGTTTCTTTTCAAGGTTAACCTTTTAGCTTATTCGTCTTCGTCACATTTAGGTTTTGAAATCTTGGACTACTGTGTCCGCGAGTGGTAACTCGGATTGGTATTCCCAGCAAGCAGACATGGTTAAGAAAGTCGTCGACACAATGCCAGTTCACTTCCAAGTAAACTACAAGGACGCAATCAAAAATGACCAGAGTCTAACACTATGCAGCTCTGAAATATTCTATGTTCCTCGACGACTTGTAGCTGACTTTGTTGATCTTGTTAATCTGGTCGGAAATCTAGAGATGCATTACAAGGTTGCCATACCTATGTTCTTCGTATCGATGGATTCGCCTCAGAATTTTGATTCTGTGCTCAGCACGATGATCTACAAGCGGAAACCACCTTCGACTAATTCTTCAACTCTGTATTCTGCTCAAGCACCAGCTGTTCATCCCTGGAATGTTTCTAGCGAACAGGATTTCATCAAGTTAATAAGAAGAATGGCGGAAGGTGATCCTCTGTTAATGGAGTTAGTTTAAAGGTAAAATCAAATTTGATACAGACAAGAACTGTGATAGAGGATGTAAGAAATGTACCACTGTTGCAACTGTTACACCATTATTTTTCTTTTTAATTATTTGTTTCCTAATTTTTTTATGGGTTGGAGAGGGTGTTCTTTATCTTTTGTTTTGTAGCTTTGTTTTGTAGGTTTACCCTGTATAATTCATTTACTGATTGGAGATTTGCTCCAAAGGAAAAAAAAAAAATGTTCATCTTCTTTTGGCTCATGAATATATGAGATCAAACTTGTTCCCAATGCCTGTCTCTTTCGCTTTATAATTTCATGATTCTGAGTATTATTATTATTATTATTATATAAAATTTTAAGTAATTTTAAATTATAGCAATAATGCATTAACAGTGACAATTCACAGGAAAGGAGGAAAAGGACATCTTTTGTTTCTGAAAAATCCAAATGAGAGGACCCAGAGAGTAAATGTGGATCATATAGTATGTCGGTTTGTTTAATATGAAATTTATAATCTATAGTTTTTAGCCCAAAAAAAGTATATAATTATATATTTTTATGGTTAACTTAATCAATTTCAAGGAAACTGAATATATTTTCATTGAGCATTGATTAAGATACAAAGTCTCCCGACCAAATTCACATTTTAAAACATCCCTGAAAGCTACAATCCACCCTTTACAGGACCAGATAAGCTCAAGCAAATGGACATTGTTAATTCGATATTTGCATTTTAACATATCTTACGATCATTAGTTATTTACCGATCAATCCCTTCTATTTTGTCTTCGACTTCGGAGTACAATTGCCTCAACTTCTCGATATTCTCCTCCGAAGTTTCCCAGTACCCGCGTCCATTGGCCTCCAAGAATGTCTGCACCAGCTTCCTGAATGAGTTTGGATTAGTATTCATGAGCCTGTTCAGCATTTGCTCATCTTGGATAAATGTGGAGTTAGCCTCTTCATACACCCAGTTGTCTACTTGCCCTGAGGTAGCACTCCATCCAACTGTATTTGTAAGCCGCTTTTCAATTTCCCGGACACCTTCGTAGCCGCTGGACATCATTCCTTCATACCACTTTGGATTCAACAACTTGGTTCTTGCATCTAGCCGGACAGTCTCAGAGAGTGTGCGGACCTGCAAAGTCACGATTTGGATGTCTTGGATACAAAGAATAACAAATCTGACATGGCATAAGAAAGTGATGAAATTCATTCCCTCGTGTTTTAAGTTAATCGGTACTAATAATTTAAGTTTAAGTTTAAGCACGAGGAAAAATTGTAGGTTATACCATATAATATCATAATGCTTACCTGGGCATTTGCTGTAGTTGTGTCAGCAATGTATGCACTAGGCTTCTTCCCATCTTTCCTCAGATTTTGGACTAGATTAGTTGGGTCTGAGTCGAAGTAGTGACTCACATCAGTGAGGGAAATCTCTGAAGAATCGAGGTTTTGGAATGTAGCATCAGCTGTGCTCAGAGCCATTTCGAAAACTTTTCTTTTCTCAGTCATGCCAGCACCAGGAGCATCACAATCAAATGCAAAGGACTTCCGGCTCAGGTACATGTCTTGGAGCTGCTTCTCATCATTCCATGAGGAATTTTCAACAGCAAGATTGATATTCGAGGAGTAGGATCTTGAGGCATTAGAGAAGACACGACTTGCAGCTTCTCGAACCTCAATGCCGAGGGCTTCAGCTTGCTCTAAAGCATGCTTCCTGACATAGTTCTGGTCTGCTGGTTCATCTAACTCGGCCACCATCTTCACTGCTCGATCAAGAAGGTTCATCTGTAAACAGAATTAAATTGTATTATCATTTCTATTCTATAAAATGAAATTTGAACGAAATCATCATGAGTTTATTAGTATATAGTTACTTCCATGAGGATTTCGTGTTATAACCCTGACCCACATGGTTACTAGAACTCAGAAAATCTTGTGTTGGTATAGCATAAAAAGAATGAATACACAATGTCAAGTACATGATTGATAAATAAGTCTCTGAAGACTCCGGAGCAGTTAACAACAACATCAATTATAGGTCTTCCAAGCTCTTCAAGGCTGACTGTTTCGACGCGGTTCACTCTACCAAAAGTGTCAGGTACAGGACTCACTCCAATCATCCATAAAACTTGAGCTAATGATTCCCCATAAGTTTTGATATTATATGTCCCCCACAGTACAAGTGCAACTGTATCAGGATATTTTCCCCCATTTTCAGCCTTCAGTCTTTCTATCAATCTTTCCACCACAACTTTAGCACTATGCATTGCTGCTGTTGTGGGAATGGTCTGTGGGTGTAAAGCACGAATGTTCTTTCCTGTTGGCAACACTTTCGGGTTCCTAATTGGATCACCACCGGGGCCTGGCTCCACATATTTGCCTTCCAAAGCTTGTTTCAGACTCCGTACTTCATTGTCAGCTACAACCAGCTTCAGACACTCTCCTAAGAATTGAAATAATGTTCTAAGTTTTTCCCTATCTGCCCGAGAAAATTTTGTGCCTGAAAGGTACTGAACCCATGGCTCATTGATACCAAAACCAAGGATTGAGCTCAGCTTGTCAGCCACATCGACAACTTGACCTTTCTGATTGGTTGTCTGCTCCACAAAGGCAGTAATGGCTCCACGAGATGCTTCAGTTATTTGTCTGAGAAGCTCCACATCCTTTAATATTCCCTTATCACTTCCCCGGTAAACATCCTCTATGTCTCTGCCAACAGTCTGAGCTAATATAGATGGCAGTGATGAGATTCCATCTTCAGGCCGGTCTAATGCAGCAATATTGACAAGTGTAGCAACTGCTTCCATAGGTGAGGGAGGTTCACCGATGACATGAAGCCCACAAGGCAAAAGTCTGGACTCAATCTCCATGATCTTGGCATAGACTTTTCCAACCACAAGATCTCGTTCCTTGGCTGAGATCTCCTCTCCTTCCTCGGGAAGTTTTACATCCTTGTCAAGATTACATTGTCTGGCAGTGCTGATAATGGAACTCACAATCTGTGGCCCCCGACCAGTATCTTTAAGAGACTGGTATGACGAGATTAGCTCACTCAATTGCTTGAGTCCCTTGTAGAGTCCCGCATTTTCTGCAGGAGGAGTCAGATAGCTAATTGTGTTGGCATAGCTCCTACGCTTGGCAATGGTAGCTTCAGATGGATTATTAGCAGCATAATAGTAAACATTCGGAATGTTCCCAATAAGACTATCTGGGTAACAGACATCACTCATTCCCACCTGCTTACCAGGCATGAACTCAAGTGAGCCATGAGTTCCAAAGTGAAGAACGGCATCTGCCTTGAAAATTTTCTCCACAAAGGAGTAGTAAGCCGCAAAACCATGATGAGGACTTGCAGATTTGGAGAAGAGTAATCGCATAGGATCACCCTCGTAACCAAAGGTAGGCTGGACTCCGATAAAAACATTACCATACTGTTTTCCATATACCAAAAGATTCTCTCCATCTGCATTCAGATTTCCAGGAGGTTTTCCCCAGTTTTCCTCCAATGCTGCAGCATAGGGAGTTAGTCTTTGGTATTCCCTGACACCCATTTTGTAAGCAATGTTCAGATTAGGACTGCTAAACTGAGCCTCCTTGTCGTGAATTATGTTCTCGATTAGTTCTTCTGCTGTCTCGGGAAGACCCTCGATGTTGTAGCCATCTTTTTTGAGATCTTTCAGAACTGAAAAGATCGAGGCAAAGACGTTAAGATAGGCAGCCGTCCCAACATTGCCTTTGTCTGGGGGGAAACTGAAGACTGTGATTGCTAGCCTCTTCTCTGCCTGCAAAAGTACATTTATTAATCATAACAAGCATAGAAAATCAAAATCAATGTGCACACTGGTATTTAACATACTATGGAACAGACACAAGAAAATAAAGAATCTTCCCCAGAAAAATCTCCTAGAAGACATTAATACGTGCCCGAAGAATTTTCTCCTATAAGAGGTTGTGAATTTGAGTCTTGCTGCTTATTCTACTGTGTCAACATTAGGAGGTTGTGTTATAATTGGTATGTACGTATCACATGATTAACATGCTTATAAATGTATCTCAGGTGCACCAAAACTTGAAATTTGTTGGGTTTTCTTCTTCTTCACATATGTGAAATTTTATAGATAAATGACTTGTTGATAAATTTTTACAAAGTATACATTTAATTATAAATGAGAAAATGGGTATAACTGCATTTCATGGCCTAGGAAGATGAAGCAAATATTGAATACCTTAGATTTCCTTTTCAGTTCAGCCCATCTGATGGCTCTGGTACAAAGTTGTTCAACCCTCTTGTGAAGAGCATGTGACTTTCCTGCAGTACATCAGCAATTTCATCAGGTAACAGGAACTGTAGAAAAGACAAAAACAAGGACTTCCCTAAATTGCAAACCTTTTGTCTCTCTATTTCTTTCTGGACCAAGACTGTTCATATATATTCTTCTTTACAGTAATTCCAAATCTTAAGAAACAGAAGAAATGTTATACGGGTAAAATACTGTTTGACCCTTGTAGTTTAAACTAGTTTGCAATCACTACCCTTACGTTTTGATTTTTTTGTTATTACCCACAAAATCATCA